CATACAGTCGTCGACCTGGACAAGGTCGACGTCGTGTGACTACCCCACGGGACGATCGACGAATTATTCGGCACGTTCGGAGAGAACCGTTTGCTCATGCAAATTCTATTGCTCGGCACTTTCCCAATCGACGTTATCAACAATAACAACGGCAACAACCAGGACAACAACAACAGCGTAACATTTCAGACCAAACGGTTAGAAATCGTCATCGTGAATCGGGACTGCAAGCAAGACATCCAAACCGTGTTCCCATATTGAATGTAAGACATCGCCAAGCTCGCTTAGCTTACGCACGTCAACATTTGCCATGGAGTACACGGCGATGGAGTAATGTCTTGTTCACAGACGAGTCTAGGTTTTGCCTATTCGGTAACGATAGACGACCTCAAGTTTGGCGTCGTCGTGGGGAACGTTTTCAGCAGAACTTTGTTCAACCTATTGCCGCCTTCAATGGAGGATCGGTAATGGTTTGGGGTGGAGTTTCACGATGGAGGCGTACCCCGTTAGTGATAATCCGAGGGAATTTGAATGCTAGGCGATACATCGATCAAATTCTTGAACCCATCGTCTTGCCTCTCCGAGAACGTTCAAGAGGATTTATACTCATGCAGGATAATGCTCGCCCTCACACGGCTAACATCACAAGACAGTTTTTAGCAGATAATCAAATCACAGTCTTGGGGCATCCAGCAATGAGTCCTGATTTAAATCCAATTGAACATGTCTGGGATATGATGGGACGCCGATTGAGACGGGAGTATCCGGGTTTGCAGACTATAGCTGTATTGGAACGAGCACTTCAGCGCATCTGGCGGACTATTCCAATGGCAGCGATAAGACGATGCATCAATATGGCAGAGCGATTGAGGACAGTGATTCGTGCAAGAGGTGGCAACACCCGATATTAACATCACACGCACGAACACACATCTTAGGGATTGAGTTTGGAGTCATTAAATACCGCGGAACTGACGAGCCGTGGGGTCTCACATCCTTAAGAATCGCAAACACACACACACACACACACACACACAAACACACAAGAAGCGTAAATCCGACCATCCAACCTCCACGTGGTACGCTTTGGGTAATGCTAATGGTGGCGGTCAAATTTGATAAAGAAATGAGAAAAAAAGAATTTTGAAAAATTTTTTAGAAATTTTTTTTTTCCAAATTTCACAAGTGATGAATGTGAAATCGTAGAGGAAAAACAGGAAAAAAAAATGTTTTTTCCATGTTGATAATCATTAATTGATGTTTTAGGGTGATAAACGTGTTCCTTTAATTTTTTTCAAAAGTTTGATCATTCGGGAAAGAAAAACGAATGAACCGATCGCATTGAAATTTTACAGGGCTATCGGGGATACATTAAGCTTAAAAAAAACTTGAAAACATTAGCCTTTTTGTGATTATTTGCAAAAGTGCAGTAGCTTCACTGAAAAAGCAAAAAAAGTCACTTTTTTGTACTTTTTTCAAACCAATGTGAGAGGTGAAAAAAAATTTTTTTCTTCAAACGCAATGAACAGTGCTTTTAGAGAATTTATTCAAGTTTTCAGAACCGTCCTTAGATTTCCTGTAGCGTTATTGGTTCATGAGATATCAGAGATTAAAGACAAAATGGTTACTTTTCACTCAATCGTCGATATCATCGAAACAAATGGTCGTACAGAGTTCGTTCAAAAAGCGAATTAAAGCTAAATGATCAGGCTTTCTGACCTTGGTATTGAAAAAGTCCCAAAAAATTTTTTCAAGTCCGTGGATGCATTTAAAGTTGAAAAGAAATTTCGAAAATTTTTGTTTCGACATATTTCTTTTGTTTGCTCTTCGACGGAAGCTCCAAAAAAATTTTTCAATGTAAGGCTTGTAAACTAGAGATTTCAAGCTTCGAAATGCTTTTTTTTCGTTTCTGTACGATCATTTGTCTAGAAGTTACAGCGCTTCAAAAATGACCCAAAAAATTTTTTAAATTTTTTGTTCCTTTAATTTTTTTGAGTAGTGTATATGTGTAATTGAAATAAATTTAATTTTTTCACTTATATGTTTGTTTTTTGTTAAAATCATAAAATTCCTATTTTGAACCCTATAATATTAAAACGGAGCGTCGTAGAGAAAAACATTATTAACAAAATATGTTTGTTTTTATGTCCTCTATTTCCCCTCAAAGTTTGTCGGTCTAATTTTTTTACACCCTGTATATATATATATATATATATACATACAGAGTGTTTCAGACCACTTGTATCACCCATTTAAAAACTAGAGAAGTGATTATTTAAAAAAAGTAAAAACATTTTCTTTATAAATCGAGTGCGCTCTATTGAATAGTGATATTTTCAACTTCTGGTTCCGGCCGAAAATAGGCGATTCAGACTGGAAGTGCATTTTTTAAATTGGAACCCTCTCTTTTTCATTGCATATTCTTGTAGCCTTACATCCAGAGCTTTCCAAAACACTAATAAATTATTTTTCCATGAAGTGCTTTTAGAGTTATGAGACTTAAAATCATTTCTTAATTTTAAACCATAAAATTTCTTAATTTTAAACCATAAAATATCTTGTAAAATATTCATTTTTCGATTATCTTACCTTAATACTTTTATGTACAAAATAATGAGCGGAATCAATTGGTGTAAAGAAAACATACAGTTGTTTTTAGGAAAAAATATGAAATTGTTAATTCAGATTGTTTTTCAATTTCAAGAAGTTGAAAATATCACCATTCGATAGAGCGCACCCGATTTATAAAGAAAATGTTTTTACTTTTTTTAAATAATCACTTCTCTAGTTTTCAAATGGGTGGTACGGGTGGTCTGAAACACCTTGTATATATGTGAGGCTCAAAGACCGAAAACGCTCATTGAACGAAAAAACCGATCACAACGCGTTCTGACTTCTCAGATTCAGCCACAATGCGAAATTTGCGTGGAGGCACTTTCCAAAACGCTCATAACACGCTTAGGCATATTCAAAAAGGCCACAAAGCGAAATTCGTATTGAGGTTCTTTTGATAATCGACCAAAACGCGTTCTGGCAATGTAAAAATGCCACAACGCGTTGTGGACGCTTATTGATGCAGCCATGACGCGATGTAAGACAAATACAATCTATCAACGGCCGACGGATTCATGCACATTCTTGTTCGTTATTTTATTTAGCGTATTGCTAGAGTGTGGACGTCATTGGTTTGCGTGCTAATTATGTGGTACGAAATATTACTTCAAAAAGTAAAAGAAGCTCAGTTACTTCGAAAAAATAAGCAATCAGTATTATCAAAGCAGTATCGTCGTATAAAGCGATACGACATCTTAAAACTTGGTGATACTGAAAAACTGATTGAAAGTGGTTCTGAAGGTATGGACGATTCTAAAATTCGCAATTTCTGTAAGGCAGATGAGCTATTTGATGTATTGGAGGCAGCACATCTCACGTGGGACATAAAAGGACAAAAGGTAGTTAAATCTTTGAAATTTGACGTTTATTGATACAGCAATAATGCAATAAAAATAAAATTATAAAGAAAAAATTTATAAAGAAAATTAACAGTTAGCCTTATGAATCCTATAGCTCTTACAATAAAATTTAAAACAATTAAGTTTCTGTGATAGAAGTTTTCATTCATCAGTATTTTTTATTAATAATAATATAAAATACTGTTTAGAGTTGCTCTCTTTGTGAGAGTTCTTTTATTAAAAACAAATTTGCTATCAATTGATAAAATCAATTTACAAATAAATTTTTTTATTTGACTAAAATCTACAATATTTTTTTTCATACGTAAGTATCAAGGATTCATAAAATAAAATAATTGACGTTATTTTGTTATAACAATCGACGTTAATTCAATTAAAATGAAACAAATTGTCTTTTTAACTGAGAATTGTAAAAGAAAATACAGTTATCTTTATTAATACTATGGCTCTTTTAATCAAAGAAGATTTTGTAATAGAAATCTTCATTAATTAGTATTTTTTTAATAATAAACATTGTTTATAATATATATTGGTCGCTTTGTGGGAATTATTAATAAATTATTTATTTTTGCAAGAACTATTACTGAGATTTGGAATTGCACTTTATATTTTTAGAGAGACATTTGCATTTTTTGTCAATGCAGTATCTTTTACAGTGGCAGCTTATAAAACCTTGCTTACTTCCAGATGACAACGAAGCTGAACGAAGAGTTAGTGAAGTACGTCTTGCAGTTCAATAAATTTGCTCTCAGCAACTATAAATTCATTGCGAGCATAAAATCGCTCAAGGAGCCCTTCTTTGGTACCTAATTGATAAAGCCCTGATGAATTAATTCCGGCAACAACAGCTAAGACATTTCTGGGAGCTGCGCGTCCTTTATCAACGTCAGGCACTCTGACCGCTACACTAGTTCGAATATCAACTTTAGAAAATTTTGAATTAGAAAATGAAATCATTTTTTGTGCTTGTTGTTTTTGACCAGATTTAGCACATTCTCTCTCAACGCTCTCTCAACGCTGATACTGTTCTTCCTTATACAGAGCTTGCAAGTAACGTTCTGTCCAAAATCCTCATTATTCTCATCACTTTCTCCGCAAATAACGTAAATATATTGATGACATCCTGAATACTTGTAAGCTCCTGAACTTTCGTTTTCACAAATCACACAATAAATTTTGCTGTCATCTTTTTTTTTTGATTCTTGTGTAACCTCTCCAGCTTGAGGTATATTTTTATCTTCACTAGATTGTTCGTTAACTTCTTCTTCATCAGTCTTATCTTGATCATTGTTCTTTACCGAAGAAAGAAGTTGTTCCAATTCTTCTTCAGTTTCTATAGAAGAATACATGTGTATCACTGGAAGAGAGGAATCTGCAAGTCCGATCTTTTGCGCTGATCCAAACATAGCCTCATAAGGACTTGTCTTAATTATCGAATGGAGAGCTCGATTCTTCTTACTTTGAATAAATCGGAGTCCTTCAGACCATTTTTCCGTATTATTGTCAGCCATCCACGCTACCAGCATGTCACAAATATCTTGGTTCGACCGAACCCTGACTCTGAGAATGTCGCGGTTTACCATTAACAAGCTTCATTCCAGGCCACATATCGGCCAAACTTTTAATTATTTTATTTACGAATTCACGACCATTGTCGCTTTGAAGTATACATGGGGCACCGAATAAACAAAATATGTCTATGAGTTGGTAGGCCATTTCCTCGGCAGTCTTCGTCTTAAGAGGACGAAGAATTGTGAATTTGGTTAAATGATCTTGATAATTCATAATGAATCGATAATCTTTATCTGGCTCTGACTGCATGTCAGTCAAGTCCAGTTGACATCGAGAGTTCATGTAGTCAGATAAAATAAGTTGTACAACTAATCCATGTTTTGGTATCTTTTTCTTCAATTGACACTGTTCATACAAAGACAGAAAAAGATTTATTATTTGAGTAACATTACAATATTTCTTTTTTAGTTCAGCTTCCATAACTGAAACATAAATAAAAATAATGTAGAAAAATATTAGACAAACACAAATTATTAATTATTTATTGACTATGAAACTAAGAACTTTATTAACTACTATCATACCTAACATGTCTAACTATACTTCGCGATATCAATCTTGTGCCGAAAACATCTTGGAATTCGTAATATAACGTAAATATGTATCAAATCTAGTCAAATTTCAAAAATGTACTTACCTCTTTTTCTTTTATGTTCCACGTTGAGATGTGCTGCCCCCAATACATCAAATAGCTCATCCGCTTTACAGAAATAGCGAATTTTAGAATCGTCCATGCCTTCAGAACCACTTTCAATCAGTTTTTCAGTATCACCAAGTTTTAAGATGTCGTATCGCTTTATACGACGATACTGCTTTGACGATAGCGATTGCTTATTTTTTCGAAGTAACTGAGCTTCTTTTACTTCTTGAAGTAGATATTTCGTACCGCTCGTTATCGATAAAAACACTCCGAACAGTACTTGTTTTCTTCAACTCACTCAATTTATCATAGATAAAAAATCTTCTTTTTATCAGACATAATTAGCACGCAAACCAACGACGTCCACACTCTAGCAATACTAAATAAAATGACGAACAGGAATGTACATGAATCCGTCGGCCGTTAATAGATTGCATTTGTCTTATATCGCGTCATGGCTGCATCAATAGGCGTTCACAACGCGTTGTGGCATTTTTACATTGCCAGAACGCGTTTTGGTCGATTATCAAAAGAACCTCAACACGAATTTCGCTTTGTGGCCTTTTTGAATATGCCAAAATGCGTTATGAGCGTTTTTAAAAATGCCACGACACAAATTTCGCGTTGTGGCTGAATCTGAGATGTCTAAACGCGTTGTGACCGATTTTTCCGCCCAATGAGCGTTTTCGGTCTTTGAGCCTAACATATATACTAGGACTGTGAATGTTAATTTTGAGGGACTTATAATAGATCACGTAACTTATGCTATATCGCATCGGATACTTCTGTAACTATATTCATATCAAAGCTCTGTCATTAGGCTTTACTTTTTATTATGACATTTTGCTGAAGTGTAAACAACATATTTTTTTTCAGCTCCGAAGATGTCGAATTACGAGCGAACAAAACACCATTTGCGAGAAGTTTTACTTTTCCTGTTTAATTCAAAGAAAGTACTGCTGAAAGTCATCGAGTGCTGTTGGAAACTTACGGTGAACATAATCCATCAATAAAAACGGGTGAATATTGGTTTCGACGTTTTAGAAGTGATGATTTCGATACAGTTGACAAAGAATGCCCTGGTTAACCGAAAAAGTTCGAAGATGAGGAATTGGAAGCATTACTCGACCAAGATTCATGTCAAACGCAAGATGAACTTACTGAATCGTTGAATGTTGATCGCACAACAGTTTCCAAACGTTTAAATGCACTCGGTATGATTCAAAAGCGAGGAAATTGGGCGCCATACGAATTGAAGTCGAGAGATGTTGAACGGCGGTTTTTCACGTGCGAACAATTGCTTCAACGGCAAAAAAGAAAGGGTTTTTTGCATCTTATCATCACAGGCGATGAAAAATGGATATGCTAAAGATAATCCTAAGCATAGAATATCGTGGGGTTTGCCCGTTCAAGCATCAACATCGATGGCAAGGCCGAATATTCATGATTCGAAGCACATGCTTTGTATTTGGTGGGACCAGCTTGGTGTTGTGTACTATGAGCTGCTTCAACCGAATGAAACCATCACTGGTGAACGCTACCAAACACAATTAATGCGTTTGAGCCGTGCATTGAAGGAAAAACGGCCGCAATTCAAGCAAAGGCACGATAGAATAATTTCTTAACATGACAACGATCGACCACATGTTGCTCGTGTAGTCAAAAAATACTTAGAAACGCTGAAATGGGATGTTTTACCTCACCCGCCATATTCACTAGATATTGCTCCATTGGATTACTACTTGTTCCGATCCATGGAACATGGCCTGGCTAAGCAGCACTTCCAATCTTACGAAGATACGAAAAATTGGACCGATTGGTGGATTGCATCAAAAGATGAATTGTTCTTTCGACACGGAATCCGTATGGTGCCAGAAAAAATGGGAAAAAGTAGTGGATAGCAATGGACAATACTTTGAAGAATAATAATGTACACAATTTTTCACAATAAAGCCTTGAATTTACAAAAACTACCTCAAAATTAATTCACAGTCCATATATATATGGACATCCTGAATATATATATACAGCGTGTCCCAAAAGTATGGACACACCTGATTTTCTTGGAAAATAAGCGTGCTAGAAAAAAACGTCAATAACAAAAGTTTCGGGAAATCAAACGGTGCAACTAAGAGTGACCTTGAGTTTGACCTTGAGCTTGACCTTCAAGGTTATTTAAAGGTCAAAGTGTTTTTTAAAAATGGGAACCCCTATTTTTGATTGTATATTCTTATAGCTGACCTCGAGAACTTTCCAAAACACTATAATAAAATATTTGTTCATTGAGTACTTTTCGAGTTATGAGGCTTGAAATAATTTCTTAATTTTACATAAACCGTAAAATATCTTGTAAAATATTCACTTTTCGATTATTTTACCTTAACACTTTTATGTACAAAATAATGAGAGGAATCAATTGGTGTAAAGAAAACACATATGATTGTTTATAATAAAAAATGTGTAATTTGCAATGCACTTTTTGTTATAAACAATCATGCGTTTTCTTTGCACCAATAGTTTTGTCTCATTATCCTGTGCATAAAAGTATTAGGGTAAGACTACCGAAAACTAAATATTTTACGAGATATTTTGCATTTTATATCGAAGTACTGCAAACTTTGAAGCCTTATAACTCAAAAAGTATTTAATGAAAAAACATTTGTCTGTAGTGTTTTGGAAAGCTCTCGAGATAAGCTACAAGAATATGTAATGAAAAATAGTGGGTTCAATTTAAGAAATTGAAGGTGACTTTTATGTGACCTTCAAATGACTTTCCAAAGTCAAACCAATGCTACCATCTTATGTCCCCCTACAATTTTTGTTTGAAACCTTTCTTTCTGAAGAGTGCTGTTTTCGAGATATTCGAGTGCATCGATTAAAATGGCCCACCGTGTATATATATATATGCACGGTGTCCTTGAGCATGTGCTCACGCACTTGTAAGATGGTAGAACGCAGTAAATTAAATAAAATAATCCTATTCTATGTAACGATTTTTGTAATAACAATCGAAATAGTAATTATTGAAGTCGGACAAATGAGAGAAGCGCTCGAGCGCTCGAGCTATAGCACGACCCACCGTGTTAGACATTGCCTGCCGGCACACGGCGAGAAGAGGGACAGCGCGCCGCTACCGTGGTTACCGCTATCAATAACCGCCAATTGCGCGGAGGCCGTAGACGCCGACCGACCGCTCTCTCGCAGGTACAACCCGGCTACGCGTCGTAGATACCGCCGAGAACGGACTTTGAGCGTTGCAAGCCGCGCAGGGACTGTAGTTGCCGCCCGACCGCTCTCTCGTAGGTACCGCCGAGAACGGACTTGGTGAGCCGCGAGAAGTGTGGAGGCCGTAGGAGCCGCCCGACCGCTCTCTCGTAGGTATCGCCCGGCTACGCGTCGTAGGTACCGCCTAGAACGGATATGGTGCAACGCGAGTCGCGCGGAAGACGTAAGTTCCGCCCGACCGTTCTCTCCTAGGTACCGCTCGGCCACGCGTCGTTGGTACCGCCCGGCTACGCGTCGTAAGTACCGCTGAGAACGGACGTGGTGCGTCGCCAGCAGCGCGGAGGGTATAGAAGCCGCCCGTAATACCACTCGTAAGTACCGCCCGATAGCTCACTCGTAGGTACTGCCCGGCAACGCGTCGTAGCTACCGCCGAGAACGGACTTGGTGCGTCGCGAGCCGCGCGGAGGTTGTAGGTGTCGACCGACCGCTGTCTCTTAGGTAACGACCGGCTACGCGTCGTAGGTACCGCCGAGAACGGACTTGGTGCGTCGCGAGCCGCGCGGAGGCTGTAGGTGCCGTCCGACCGCTCTCTCGTAGGTACCGCCCGGCCATGCGTCGTAGATACCGTCCGGCTACGCGTCGTAGGTAACGCCTGGCTACGCGTCGTAGGTACCGACGAGATCGGACTTGATGCGTCGCGAGCCGCGAGGAGGCCGTAGTTGCCGCCCGACCGCTCTCTCGTAGGTACCGTTTGGCTACGCGTCGAAGTTACTGCTGAGAACGGACTTGGTGCGTCGCGAGCAGCGCGGAGGTTGTAGGTGTCGACCGACCGCTGTCTCTTAGGTAACGACCGGCTACGCGTCGTAGGTACCGCCGAGAACGGACTTGGTGCGTCGCGAGCCGCGCGGAGGCTGTAGGTGCCGTCCGACCGCTCTCTCGTAGGTACCGCCCGGCCATGCGTCGTAGATACCGTCCGGCTACGCGTCGTAGGTAACGCCTGGCTACGCGTCGTAGGTACCGACGAGATCGGACTTGATGCGTCGCGAGCCGCGAGGAGGCCGTAGTTGCCGCCCGACCGCTCTCTCGTAGGTACCGTTTGGCTACGCGTCGAAGTTACTGCTGAGAACGGACTTGGTGCGTCGCGAGCAGCGCGGAGGACGTAGGTGCGGCCCGACCGCACTCTCGTAGGTACTGCTCGACCACGCGTCGTAGCTACCGCCCGGCTTCGCGTCGTAGGTACCGACGAGATCAGACTTGATGCGTCGCGAACCGCGAGGAGGCCGTAGTTGCAGCCCGACCGCTCTCTCGTAGGTACCACCCGGCTATGCGTCGTAGGTAAAGCCGAGAACGGACTTGGTGCGTCGCGAGCCGCGCGGAGGCCGTAGGTGCCGCACGACCGCTCTTTCTCAGGTACCACCCAGTTACGCGTCGTATGTACCGCCGAGAACGGACTTGGTGCGTCGCGAGCCGAGCGGAGGCCGTAGGTGGCGACCGACCGCTCGCTCGTAGGTAACGCCCGTCTACGCGTCGTAGGTACCGCCGAGAACGGAAATGAAGCGTCGCCAGCCGCGCGGAGGCCGTAGGTGCCGATAGACCGCTCTCTCGCAGGTATCGCCCGGCTACGCGTCGTATGTACCGCCGAGAACGGACTTGGTGCGTCGCGAGCCGAGCGGAGACCGTAGGTGCCGACCGACCGCTGTCTCGTAGGTACCGCCCGGCCACGCGTCTTAGGTACCGACCGGCTACGCGTCGTAGGTATCGCCGAGAACGGACATGGCGCGCCGTGAGCAGCGCGGAGGGCGTAGGTGCCGACCGACCGCTCTCTTATAAG